CCTACATTTCAGAAGAAAAAGCACTTGCAGCACTGCTGGAGATCTTGGAAAGAGAAGACGATGTGCATGAGACAGCGAATCCGAAAAGATTATAATCTGTTTGATCAACCTAACACTAAAAACTACCTATTTCACATTCAACAGCAGCATCTTTCGGGCAAATATTTGGTCTGTTTATGGGCAGTAATTATGCGATATTTTTTGGACTGATCGCAAAGAAAAGAAAAATTATACGATTTTCTGACCATCTTAAACGACATGGATTAAAAAAAAATCAAATTTAGCATAAATGTAGAAGAAAACAGATACCCACCCTTCTTGGATGTGGAGGTGATTCGCTCCGAAGAGACTCTCAAGAAACGAATTTTTCTAAAGAAACAACATGTAGGGACAATCTTTAACTAACTGTTTAACCGTGCTTATGGAATGAAGGTTGAAATGCTCAGGAGTATGACCATAAGAAGTCTATGAGTTACAGATTTTTAGTTCTGGCAAGACAAAGTGGAAAAACTAATCCAGATGTCTCTTGAAAACGGATGCCCAGAAGAAGCAATACAACGCAACATAAGGATGGTGATGAAGATATGGAAGGACGGCAATTCTGAAGAGAAAGCAAGAGGAACGGAGAAAAATTGATGGATATGTCTATCCTCGTGTGAATTGGTTCAGAAGCTGCGACTAATACTACGGAAATGTGACATTCGTGCAATCCTGACGGAAAGGACAACAACAACATCAACAAAATTGAGTGATCCGGAGTTAACAGCATAAACTGCAAGGACTGTAAATGAAATGTCTCGGAGAGACGGCAATAACAATCGGAGCAAGGGTGGAATAACACCAAGGACTGTGCAGAATAATGGGTACAGAAAGATCGGAGATTGATGCACACATTGCCCTGACCTGCTGCACAAATGACTGGCACGAGAAAACGGAAGATCAGGGAAGCTGTGATTATCCTGTCTCCAGGATACCTGATGAAGAGGAAATTGGAAGAGCGAGAGTCGGAAAGAACTTCGCGCACTGCTTGGACGAACTTGGAGATTCAGCGAAAACAGCTAAAAGAAGACTCTTGCTCCAAAGACAACTATTCAACAACAGGATAAGATATCGCCAAGAAGAGACACATAAGGGAGATGGGAAAGTCGAGAAAAGGCGATTTCAGTGAGAAGAGTCATACTCGGAACTGATTTGCGTCCCCCTGTAGGATGGGGGATAGAAAAATAAAGACCAGAAACATGCAAATTGTATTTTTTTCTAAGTGAGTAGGTTTTCGAGAATACCAGTAAATCAGTAGTATGAGATTTATTCACCCTATTTCGCTTAAGGTTATGAAGGAATGGTAGTTAATTTTTTCCACAATGTTGTGAGCAAAGCTGACGTTTCCACATAATTTCGCATAGCCTTACTTTTCCCAGAAGATGTTCTCATCCACGTTGGGCTGCAGTTTCGACCTAGCCCAGGAAGTATCAATACTTCAAGCGGGTGAATAAAACTCACATTGTATACCATTAAAGGTACAGGACTAAAGATATAGGCCCATTTCACATGCATTAGGGTGTGGAAACCGACTTGGGGTGAGCAATGTGTGTGTGTGTGTATGTATGTATGTGTGTGTGTGTGCATTTTTCGTGAGTGTGTATTTAATAAGAGAGGGAGGTTACCAACTCACGTGCATATGTACAATTGAATAGAATCTTAAGATTAGGTTGGAGTGTGTTTTACGCAATTCAGGATACAGGAACCCAAAGAATGGGAGAAAATGAGGTGGGGATGAGAAAGAAGGTTGCATGGCCACGAGTCTGAAGCCTGAGAAGACTAAGATGATGCCCTGGCATGAGAATCACATATCTTTAAATCCTTGAATATGACGTAAACAGAAATGGAAATACAACGCCCATAGAAAGCCAAACATTGTTTTTTGTGCAGCAGG